TTGGATTGCAGTTCGATTTCTTGTATTTATAGCACCTCCGAGACGTGATTTGTGTCTTCCGGACTTTATACGAAATATAATAACGTCTGCGACGGCGACATTAGTTACTCCTATTCCTATACTCGTATGCGTATCATTTTATAATGTTTTTATATAATATATCCCATTCGTCTATACATATAGATACAAATAAACAGGGAAGATCATCGTTTCATATATCATTGACCAGTGTGATTATATATTATACCAGCGAGCGTAGGTAGACTTTGACCAAATTTATTGATGGTTTTTTTTTTCTAAATGGCAACCCATATTTTTTATTTCGTGTTCCAAAAATATACGTTCATGTACAAAATATAACGAAATATTAAATCAATAGATACATCCATAATTATTTATAAGCGTTTATAGTTTATACAATTTAAATGATCCAATGGTAGTGTACCAACAACATTTTATGGCAGACACTTCACTTCACACGTGTTCTAAACTTTTAAATGCTTAAACAATCCAAAATATAATACGATATTGGTTATATAAGTATAAAAGAATCCTTATTTTTTATTTCATCCATGGTAATATACAGAATATCTGAATATATAATACAAATATGAAATAATAGGCATAAGCTAATATAATGATAAAATACAGTAGACATAGAAATGTACTTAAAAATACAACTACAGCGCAGAAAGAATGAAGGATCAAGGATGTGTGTATTTAATCGATTTATCTAGACGAATTAGAATTGTTTAGTTTTAAGATTTAAATTCTTTACAAGTCGTGTTGGAAATAACTATCTACTTTTTTATACCTTCCAACGGAATAGTCAAGAATACAAGATCACAATAACACTGCATAAATAATAGCCTAACACAATACTCAAATACTCAATTGATTTTACAATTGCTTGCTTATATAAGGGGCAATCCCTTTATTTTATTATTCAAATATCAACATTTATATATCACAGAATATATAATAGGTATATTTACATTATATATTATAATGACATCTATAGGCTATATTATATTATGATAATGGTATAATCTAGGTAACAACTATAAGCGCCGCGGCGGTTATGCGAAAGCAATTCCCGCGGAGTCGTCGGTTCTAAACAGTTAAAAAAAAAAAAAAAAGGTACCTAACAACTATAAAACTAATACATAAACCATCGGTCTAATTTCCGTTCGTTTTATATTTAATATTATGTATAAAATCTATACCGTCGAAGTTCCGAGTGACACTTTATAAATTATATAAGATGTATATTGTATAGGTACTGTATACATCGCGGCAGTAATGCGCAAGCAATTCCCGCGACGTCGTCGGTTCAAAAACAAAAAAAAAGGTACTGTATACATACATTTAATAAAGATCGAATTTTTAAATTTTCCAATGTGAATGTATCACATTAATGATTAAATTAAATTACAATACACATTATTAAATTATTATAATATCTAAATATTTCACATATTATATTGTTAACCTCAGTACTAAATCGTTTACAATCGGTTACGGTATCTGCGCCCTAACTCATGCCGATACGATGTATTTTCATATTATAAACAATTTTTTTTCCCTTTTTTTTGTTAATGTCATAATTAAGTAATTGTCGAACTATAATAGTTTTACACTGAAAGTTATAAATAAAAAATATAAAAAAATAGCTGCCATATTGTCTTAATTAATGATTTTTATATTATATGTATAAATCTAACCTACCTATAAGAATTAAAATTATATAACTCATAAAATATGATATTTAAAAATATATTAACATGATAAATGAATAAATTACATTTGTTTAACTTGAAGGACCGTAATTTATAACAATAAAGTTGACTATATAACTTATATTTATTTACCCCTTTAAAGTGAATGTTCACTTTTGAAACACTCGATGGTCCGAGTGAGGGGGAGATATAGTAAGATATTCCACTTCGGCATGTAATTGCATGTAATTTATTTATAATAAGTTACACATTGATAAATTATAGTATTATTATTTATTACTATATTTTTACTTATCCTTTGTTTTATGAATTATGACTATCTATATAAAATTAACTTTATGTACGATTTAATAAACATTTCATTAATATGTATTTACGCAGATTTATTATTAAATTTAACATTTCACTTCGTGTTGAGACAAATTTTAATAAATTTTACACATATAATTTATCCCTGATACTCACATTTAAGTTTTAAATAACTTTGGCAAATAGGACACAATTTTCGTCTTCAATTTCCAACAAAACATTTTATTTTATTATTATACTGAAAATAAAATATAATTATACTTGACCATAAAGTGATTTATGTGTTAGACGTACCTATAGAGCTTCCATTGGATTAACAAAAAAATTAAACTTCCCATTCATAAAAAAAAGAACCATGAGTGTCCAACGTTAAATATATAATAAAACACAAAACTTAGAATGTTATTCGAGATAGAAATGTCAACTACAATAAAAATATTACAAAGCAAATCGTTTGTACAGACATTGACAGGGACAGAGAGTCGGGAGTGTAAGATAACACTGACGTGGACATTGTCAGTACTGACATAGTGACATATAGATACAAGCTTGTAGTATCAATTTTAAATCTAATAAAATCCAGATGGTCAAAAAAATATTCTATCTTTTTTATCAAAGTATGACGCTCACATAAAACATTTATTATGATGGTTTTGAAAATTTAGTGCAATAGTTATTCACTAAATTCTAAATTTAAGCACAATATTCATTATTTAATAAGAATGCAAATTACTGAAATATTAGTTTGAATTTTAAATAATATGGTAACCATTTAAATATAAAGTTGACTGTGTAGTGAATAAAGTTGTTTTTTGATTTTAAGTGTACCATTTAAAAATTAGTTTTAATTATAATCAGGGCCGGCGAAAGCTATGGGCGACCCGGGCGACTGCCCAGGGCGCAAACTAAAAATTATTTTTATTTAATTTATCTTTTAATACGCATTAACAATTTATAAATAGTGTAGACATATAACGTAGTTTTTCTTTGTACAAACATATTTTAAGTAATAGAAGATTTAATTTTAATGAACATAATTTGGAAATGTATCTCATTATTAATTTCAATTCAAAAAAGTAACATTTACCTAATTTTTTTATATAACTTGTATTTTTATAGTGCAATTTTTGTGTGTTTTCAATGCAATTAAATCTGGTGTTTAACTATAAAATTGAGTATGAGATGATTTCTATAGTCATAGGGATTCATGTTAGATCGAAGTTGAAAATAAACCTTAAAATAAAAGCGTCCCCCCTCGTCACTGTAAATAATATATAAACAAAATAAGTATATAACATACATTTTACAACTATATATACGTCTATATCTATAAGATTAAAATGTTTATAAAAATCATTATTAATAATCTTATTGAATAATATTATTCGCTTTATATATTTATTAAAGCCGGATCACGAAATTTGATAAGAGAATGTGATGTAGACAGTAGAAGACAAGTTATACAATATACAATACGGCAACATTTTCATAACATTTTGTTGACAAAAAAACCGTAGCAGCAAATATAATAATACTCGAACCGTTATACGTACCATTGGCGTTCAAATAATTTGGACATGGGGGGACGTGGCTGATTTTTTAACATACCACTTGACCATTAAAAATATAATTTATGGTTACTTTTTATACCTATATGACTATATAATATATATATTATTATAAATATTAAAAAAAATCATGGGGGATCTCTATCCCCCATTTGGCCACCACTGAGGTATACTGCGGATATGCGGTATAAATAAGATTAAAAGTAATTTAAATATTTGGAAAATTGTATTATGCATAGTAAAATACTATAATATACATTAATACATTATTCATTTGTAGGTACTTAACAATGTCTAGTCCCTGCGAAATGCGAATTATTTTTTGAATTACAGCAAAATAACTAAAATTATTATACTTGAGTCTAAATTACAAATTACTATCTTAATTTGTGGCTTAAATATATAATTTAGTACAAATACGAACTTCATATGTCTATAAAATCTTCCAAAACTTTGCTATAAAAATTGAACATTATACAAATTTTTAATTACAAAATAATTTGCAAATGTTCGTGATTTTATTAGTGGCGTCATTTCAGTGTTTTAGAGCGAGAGGGGCAAAGGTTTTTACCGGCCAATAATAAAACTAAAAAAACTCTTGCTCTACTCGTAAACTTATTAGTTGCAATTATATTTTTTATCTAAATACATACATAGTGTTCATAAAACCACTTGAAGGGTTACAGCCTACAGGGAAAAACGATCATAGTAGAAAGAAAGAAAAAAATCAAATAATTATAGTATTTTTTGGTTAGTTTCATAACGAATTGACACGTGACTCGAGTTATTAAAAAAAAATCACAGTCAATGATATAATACAGGTATTACCTTAATGGGAAAAAAAGACCAAAGTCCCAATTTAAAACTGCGATGATGAACATTTTAGTAATATTGACTATTATCGTTTTTCTCCATACCCTTCACTTACTATACTACTCTAGATGTCTCATTTTCAAAATGTACTAATGATTTTAAGACCATTGTTATTCCTTCTCTCCACCTTCTTATATCACTCATTAATGCATCCATGTTACTTATCTGTATGCTCTGCATCATTTACAAGCAACTCCCATTTTGATTATTTTATGAAAACCTAAGTTTTATAATATATATTATATATTATTTAATATACTTTTTTTTAATCAGTTATTAATTTAACCATTGAGACGTGATAAAATCCTTGAATGTTTATGGCAAACTTGAATTAAAATAATAACAATTTAATACATTTGAAAGTATAAGTGTATTTGCCACAATAGTGAGAGCTTTAGGGGCATAGGCATAGAACCTTTAATCAAATAACTACTAATTAAATAATATTTAAATACCAAATATGATTTAAGATCTGTTGTTTAAATTTATGTTAGTACGTTAAATATAATAATCAACTTCGTACCTTCAATTGGTTCATTGCTGTAGTGTTTTCACGTTTGAGTGTATTACATCTATCAAATTCAGCTTCAATTGTTTCCATAGATGATTCTGCTTCAGACAACCATCCTAAAAAGTTGTCAAATGATTTGTCTAAATTTTGTAAGGAGTTTATTGCTGAATGCAATACTTTTCCTCGACTTATAATGCTAAAAAGAAATTTTGCAATTAATAATGAAATATAATCTTAATCACATATGTCTATAACAAAATTTACTTTGTATTAAGGTTTTGGAATCTTTGATGTACTTGTTCTGTTAATTTTTTGATTTTGGAAGTATCATCATTTTGATACACAGCAATTAATTTTTGAGTAAGTTGATTAAATAAATCAATCTGGTGTTTGTATTGATGTAACTCAACATGGAATGACTACAACAATTCATGAATAAAAGGTTAAAATTTAATGGTAATTTTGTATTTAAATTTCATAATATTTGTTTAATACCTTTTGTTCTCTCTGCTGTGCATCTAGTACATCTGCTGTATTACCGACTGAACTCATTCGCTGTAACCTATTCTCCATTCTAGTCAACCAAGTATCAATTTCCATTTTTTTTGTTTCATAACGTTGGCTATCACTCAACATTGCATTTAATTCAGATTTTCGTTGCATTACTTTATTATTTGTTTCATCCCAATGTTCACGCAATTTTGTCACTACAGAATAATAACATAAAAGACTCTATACAATATATTCATTTAAAATTACCAATAAATTACCTTTGCCGTGTAATTGTTGTCGATTTGAATCAGCTTTAAGATTTTCAGCAGTATGCACTAGTTCATCTAATTGAGGCTTCTTTTGTTCCAACTCCCGTAATACGTTCTATACGTAAAATAAAAACTGTATTAGTATATACATATATTTTATAAGAATATATTATATATTAAATTATGTTATATTAATTCATTTTTACTGGTTAGAACATTTAAAGTATTAGCTGAAAATAATAATATACAATTCAAAACTAATATTTGTAAGATCTAGGTAATAGTAAAAAAAAAGTAAGTAAAATATTAAAATATAATTTTTAAACTAATATAATAATATAATATAGTAGTACCTATGGTATATTATACTATATAATATCATATTATGATATAGATTATTGAAAATAAATAAATACAATAGTAACTATCACAAAATATTACAGTCAGACTTGTCTTATTAAGAATGAAATATGCAAGAAACTATTAAGACATTGCATTGCCATGGTGACTGTGTGTATACACACATGTTAGTAAACAATCTTTTGTTAACCTAATCCATCATTTTTACCACTTCAATAAAATTAGCAAATTGATTACATGATGTATTGAGTTTATAATAGAAATTTACATTTAAATAATAATTTAAAAACCAAGGTTTGTTGAATTATGAGCATAATATAACTATAAAGAAATAAGTAAGTAAAAAAATATAAAGACAATAACTTGATAAGATTTATACATTTTCATCTTTATTTGGTACATCATAGACAATGACTGCCTAGTTTAAAATGTGTTTCAATAATGTACAAACGTATATAACTCATTTTTATCTTGTGTTTTTTTTTTTTTTTTTGTTAGTTAATTTTAATTAAGTTTTGGGGCATTTTTTACTTTTATTTTAACAACTGAGAGAAACATTACGAGTCAATTAATTGTTATTAATATATTCCAGTATTCCACTAATCCTAAAAACTACATCTTCATTATTTTTAATATCTGTAAATTTCAATCAAAACAAGTACATTTATAAATTATAATTTTTAAATATAAAACCAATAAATAATTTTAATTTTTAACTGTAACAGTTTTATGAGCGTTTTTAAAATTATTTAGATCATTAAGATAGAATATTTTTAAGGAACTTTTTTATTTTTTAGTTCATTTATTGTGCTTCTTATGCATATTAGGGCATCAATATCCAGACCCTAGTTATTATTATTTTTCACTTTTAGTAAATACTAAGAAAACATTTATTTATTCAAATCTTCGCTATCAACATTTTCTGATTGTGATGATTAATCATCATAATATACAAGGTTTATAAGACTGTTGTTTTAGGAATTTACGAATAGATCAAATCTAAAATAATACACTATATGTTAAAAAATCTATAAAAATAATTATAATTGTAGGAATTTAACACAATTTCAATTTTTAATTATAATTACTATAACCAAATTCAAATTGCACATTTTAAACATAAATTTAATTGTTTAATTGTTTTAAACTTGCCTTTTGTTTATCAATTAGTTGAAGTATATCGTCGACATCTCCTACCGTAACTAATTGTTGACGCAACATGTTTTCTTCTAAAGCCAGCCAATCACAAATCTACAGCAAATATTAATTAATAAACTATGAAAATTTACATTATAATATACCAATAAATACCTGAAGAATTGATTTATCAAAACTAGCTAATAAATTGAGAAGTGCATCTGATGAATTGACTGGAGATAAGGACCGTAAACTTAAACGGGAATTTGTTTCGGGGGCATTCCTTCTTAAACTCTTCCAATTTTCTTCTGCTGTAAAATTATTTTGACACATATATAATAAGAAATTTACATATCAACTCATTAATAAATAATTGTAATTTATTTATTTTCAAAATATTAGTTAATTTAATTATACTTTTTATTGTTATATTTATATTTTACATACTAGTCAAATTTAATATCATTATTTGGTTTAACTAAAAATAACAACATCAATAGTTAAAACCTTGTAAAAACATAAAATTAAACTTATAACACCTTAAAACACCTTAAAAAAATATTTTGTTTTCTGTTAGTTTTGCTTCAATCGTAGTTGGAATATAATTGACAACTGTTCATAAAATAGAATGAACAAAAGAAACATTTTTGTAGGTACTATGCGAAATCAAAGTGTGTATATTAGTATTTATACATACTCAAAGTACAATAAACAAATAAACCAACATAAAAATAAAAAAATAAACCAAAAGGCTTAACAGGAACAAAAATAATTTAATTAAAAAAAACGTTACGTAATTAATGTAAAAGCATTGGTGTGGAAAGTTTTTAAAAAAATACTCAAAATTCTAACAAAATCAAACAGCGTCAACTACACCGAGCGAAAATCCATCACCACTCCATGGATGTCTATAATAAGAACATTACGGGGTCGTATAAGAATTCTTAAAGTTTCGTCGGGAGCTAGGCGATGTTATTACTATACTTACGATCGAAACATGATCCATGGATTAACGACCCTTTAAATACGTATTGATAACTGTACAGAAACGATTATGTGAAAGGAAAAAAATTAAGAAAACGAGTGAAAAAAATAAAAAATAAATTTGGAACCCTATAAGTCAACGAAGTGGTGGTGATTGGCGGCGGCCGCGTGGCTGAACGCCACCCGTGTAGCTGTGGAAAGGGTCGAGGTAAGGGACGTCCTGCCGATGCGGGCCGCGCGGATGGACCGGAACAAGTAGCGCGCGCGAGATGTGCCCCGTCCGTGTGCTCGCGCGGCGGCGGCCACCCTCATCGATTGATACACAAGTGGGTGGAGTCGTGGTGTACGCGCGCGGCTGGCCGGCCGGCACTTTTCGCTCCGCAAAGTACAAGTAGACTTGGCGAAAGCGAGCGCGCGACCGACGGCTACGAATGGGTAAGACTCACGCACGCACTCACGCATCCACCCACCCACCAACCGATGGTATTACTATTACTACTACTACTACTTCTACCGCACTGTCATCATCCTACTACCACCACTACGCTTTCCTACACGTGCGCGTCGCGGCGTTAGGACGAAAACCCCTAGGCGGTAGCGTTAGTATTCCAAAGTTTTCTTCCGCACTCTTCGCTTTATCGATCCCTGCGCACGTCCCACACGACAACGACTGCGTCTTCGTCACGGACGGACGTCGCCGACACCGCGATTAATAATAATATTGTACAAGATATTATAATATAACAATAAATATTTGACCCGAATACTGAGATGGCTGGCTTCGATAGGTATTTATCATTAGTCGCGATATTCTATGGACTACCCATGTACGCGGAGATAATATTATGTTCTCGCGGAGTATCGTCGTCGATCTTCGCGGAGGGATGATCACGCCATCCAAATCCGCCTAAACCCAACCTTTGAAAACCCAAGCTGTTGTTACACTTAGGAAAATACTCATTTTTTTGTATAATATAGAAGTTTTGCAGTATGAAAAAACTAAAAAAAAACAGACTGTGTTTATAAGCTCCACGATATGCACTACTCGTTGATATGCTAACTCGAATTGCAAAAACTTTTAATGGTACAAACTTTCGTCTTGATGATAACATTAATGGCATACTTTAAAAAGGTTTTATTTTAAATTGTTTTTATATTACCCTGTGTAATTTCAACACTGCCAACTAATTTGTTACAACGAATAAAATATCACTATACCGTTATATTATTTAGTTATTATTTACAGATTATGCAAATAAAAAATTAATAATTTTATGCAATCAAATTTAATTGAATATTTTAATACTTTTAGAAGATGTATTTTAAACCTGATTAAACAAGCTCTGTATAACATAGTTGTGAATTTGTGATTAAAGCTATTAATATTATCTCAATTGTAAACAGTTAACAAATAGCTACCGTCTGGCGCCAAGCACTCATTTCAACTTAAATAACCATGTTGCCTCAGTAAAAGGTAGTACATAAAGGAAAAAATACGTAAATTCCTACTATATTTTGTAATACAAATAACTCTACTAAAAAATCATTAATGTATACATGATACTACTATTGAGTAATGAGTATATATTACTAATATTTAGTGTAGAATAAAATATCGAACATTGCTTCTCTATACAATATTATATACTCAATGGTCTACTATATTTGTACAAACAATACTATATATTTTTAAAATTAGAGCCAAAAATAAGTAGACTTAACATAACTTCAACTAATTAGTAATTTTTGATATGGATTATTATTATTTAAATAGTGCAGAATAGATAGTTAAAAATATTTAAAAAAAAATGTTTCTGTACTCTGCAGTGCAACTACGATTTTTCAAGGGGTTAAAAGTATAGTAAAATACTAAAACAATAACAAATTACCATTATATTATGAAATAATAGTTCGATAATGTATCAAATAATAATTGTCTTTTAGATTGTATGCAAAATATGGCACACATGTTAGTATTAATGTATAGGTAGTACTTGAAATTATTATTATTTATTTTATTTATTTTTTAAGTTGACACCTTATAAGCTCAAGTTCATACATAATTGTCATCAATACAACCAAAACTAAGGTTTAGTCTACCAAGCTTCTTCCTTAGTTGCATCACTGATTATGAAAATTATTATTATTATTTTTAAATAAATTATTATCTAAATAAAAATTAGAAAAAAAAAAAAATATATCACCTTTTTTTACTTCAATAGATGTAACTGATGGTTTTTTCAAAATACTTTCATTTATATTTTTCAAATAATTCCAATTGTCTCTGAGATTTTTAACTATATCCTAAAACAAAAATCAATCAGTAAATTAAATAATTTTAAAATATAATATTAACAATATAACAGCAAACGAACTAATACACTTTTAATTAATAAGTTAGTCTAATGTCTTACTTGTAAATCCACAGATACAGGTTGACCAATTCCTTCACATTGTTTTTCCATATTTGTAAAATTTTCCAAAATATCTTTTACTTCAGCATTTCTTTCTAATAAGTTTGACTAAAATAATACATATTATTGTTAATAGTTACAATAGTCATTTAACAATCCTAAAACAAACTTTACTCAATGTAAATAGACATAAAAAACATACTTGTAATTTTTCAGTTGCTAATTTTCTCTCTGAAATAGGTTTTGGGTTTAATTCTTCTGCTTCTAATTTTTTTGTAATAACCCAACTATTTAATTCTTTTAGTTGACTTATAAATCTGTTTAAGGCATTTAATTTTCCATTTAAACATTCTAAATTTTCAGACAAATCAGATATAACCTATAAAAATTCAAAAAAATCATTTAATTTTGTTAATTAACATACACACAAAGCAATTTTTTATTATTTGATTCAAAACTGGTTAATATTTGAAAAAATTATCTTTTATTTATCAGGATAAAAACAAAAATTAAAATTTTATTTTATCGATTTGTAATTTTCTACTTTCCCGGTTTGTGAAATAACTATAATTAATAATTCATTATTATAATAACTTTCCCAAAACGCACATCAAAGCTTAATAAGAAGTTAATTATTTTATAATTACTGTGGGTCATCCACGTTTTCCTTATTTATTTATTGAGAATTAATTGAAATTTCATCAATTTTATTAATAACAAACTGGGACAAACAATTTATTTCCAAATATTACTAGATAACATTTTATACCAGAAACTGCGCATAAAAAAAAAAACCTCATCACACACAAAAAAAACCTTTTTAAAAATAATATATTCCTCGCTCCATTCAAAATATAAAATATTACGAAGAGAAGATAAACAATAATTTTATTGATGTTTTATTAATGTCTTAAGCTGAGTACCTATATCAAAGTTTTTATAAAACCTCTTATCAATATTATTTTAAAAAAATAATTCAATGTCAATTTGCTACTTGGTTTAATATATAAAAATTACCTTATCAAGTAGTGATTTAATTGATTCAAGATCATTTGGTTGTTTCAATTTCTTTGAATTAATGGAATCTAATTCTTTTCTTCGAGTTAATAATTCTATTTCTTTGGACTACAAAATTACAATACATAGATTATCAAATTTAAAAAAAATTACTTTAATAAGAAAAATAAAATAAATACCTTAAGTAAACAACTTTTTGAATTTAGTGAATCAATTTCTGATGGATTAGCTTGTGTAGCTTGAAGCACATTTAAAGTTTGATCAATAGTCACTTTTGTTGCAGATATGACACTTGAAAAATCAGACTTTGATTTTTCCATTTCATTCACCCTAAAAACAATAAAAATTTAAATAAATTGAAAAAAACTGATAACTATTTTGTTGTTAACAAGTACCTGAATGAGTTCAGAAAAAACAACAAAAATAAAATACTTATAATATGTCCCAAGACAAAATAATTATAAAAATTGGGCTTATGCCAAATGAGTAAAAATAACACCTTCTTTCCAGCATTTGACCACTTGGATAAAATTATGGGATAGATTTAGAACAAAAAATACACATACCTTTCTCGTTGCGTTGTTAGCTTATTTAAAACTGCTTGCCATCTTAATCTTAGGCTCTCAACTTCTGATTGGAAACTGTCTGAATGCGACCATAATGTTCGTGAACAGTTTAGAAAACTTATAACTGTTCTGTTAAATGAAACAAATATAAATGGAATAGTAAAAATCATAAATAAAATAATAATTTTAAAAAAATAATATTAATTGCAGTCTACTTAAACTTTAGAAAAAAAATTAAAATTAGATTTTTTTTCAACAATTTACTATGCACGGGTTAAATAAATAAAAAGTTTACTTTACTTTAATAACTACCAAAAATAAAAACAACTTAATAAGATATAACATAAGAAAAAAATGAGAGGGCTATGTAGTTTATAGGAATGGAAGACAGAATTATTGAAACAGAATATCCCTTACCACAGAATGTCGGTAATTTAAAATTTGGTGATTTATAACGTATTCCTTGTTAAATGAAAACATTTTCACTAATTTTTAACTAGGAATTGTTACACCACAGCCTTAACATACTCTAGAAGACGTCAACAATTTATCAATGATAAAATTCTGATTTTAAATTAAAAATTACCTATGCCTAGATGACACTCTTTTTTCTAAATTGTGTTGCTTATTTTTTTTCTCTTGTAATGTCAATATCAAACTATTTTCTTCCATATCACTTTCAATTTCTGCTAACCATTCAGAAAGTTCTTTACCGTTTTGTTGTAAGTTGGTAACTTCTGTTTGTATACTAGATAGTTGTCTAAAAATAAATAATATTTAGATAAGTTTAAAAACATTTAAGTATTAAGTTAAGATTTAATAAAAATTATAAATTTAATATCCCACCCAGTCCGTTCAATCACACACTTATTCAGCATTTCCCAAGTCTCCTGCATTTTTTCAATGTTTCGTTGCACAAATATTTCATCATTAGCATTTTTTGTACTTAACTTTTCTATAGATTTTTTCAAAAGCTCAGTTCTACTTTGAATATCCTAAAACAAAAACATTTAATAAAAGCAAAGTATATTTTTATAATAATTTTTAATATTTTACTTCAATCTTGGAATTTTGAAGAGCAACAGAATTATTTGATAATGGTATTAAATTCAATTGTTTTAATAAAGAACCCAAATTTGATCGTGTCTCGTCTATCTGAGATAACATTTCTACAGGTACGTTGACATTTTGCTACAAAATATTATATATTAGTTTACACACATATTATGTTAACAATATAAAAAAATGGTTTGCATTATATTACTTGTTGAGACAAGGGACTTAATTTATTTAACTTATTTTCTAGTTCAACAATTTTCAGTCGCATTTTATTAACAGCATCTTTATCATAACACAGTGCTTCAATATCTGATATTATCTCATCCATTTCTAATAAATTAGCATATTTGATATTAATTTCTCGTTCAAATACCTTAAAATTAATATATTTATATGTATAATATGTATTATGTTCATATATTTTAAAAATAGATTTTAATTAATTAATCTTGATTTAATATTATTTTCAACACATGCAGTCAAAAACCATTTGATTTTATTCTACCTCTGAATTGTTGTGCTTATGGTTAATCCAGTTTTCAATATCTTGAGTAATTTTATTAAAGGATTCCACTTGTTTCTTTAACATTTGTGTCTGAAGTTTTACAATCTGTAAATAATTAATTCAATGAATATCTATACAAATTTAAATGTTACTTATTTAAAATGTTACCTCTATTTCTGACATGATATGAGTCCACATTACTCTAAGTCTATCTTGAATTAAAGTGCACAAAGTGCTTGCTCTGGAAGGATCTCCTGTATGGCTTGCAAGTATAAGACTATCACCTTTGCTTATTAATGTAGCTGCATCTGGTGCTATATTACTAACTTCTTGTTCAACAGACTATTAAAGAAAAGTATAGTGTAGGTATAAAAATCTAAAAGTAAAGATGATGAAAAAGTTACCTCAACACGCTTATTTGGATCCGATTCTGTATTTAATTGTCGAAGGTCTTTTAAAGTAAGTTCCATCCTCGCCAGCATTTGTTTTGCTTCATTTTCATATTTTTCAATATCTACATCTAGATTTTTTATTATTGATGTATTTGGTGATTTTGAAGTGGGTACATTTTCTTTTTTCTGCCTCATAAATGAAATACCCTAAAAATAAGACAAGTAGTAAATAAATTGAATACTCAATAAATGAATAGAACTTAATCTTACCATTTAAGCATTATTTTTTGATAATTAGTTTTTTTTTTTTAATACTGATTGATGAACATATTTTTATGTAGTTTGGAAACTTGTGAAATACTTAGATCATTTAATTTAATTTATTACAAATTGATTTATATTGTTATCAATAATAGTATGTAATAATATTGTGATTAAATTAACTAAAGGATTTATAACATGTTTAACATACAAATAATAAATAAATAAACAAGAATATTCATGTTCACTTAAATCAAAATCAAAAGGTATTTCAATATAATATATAAAAACGCATTCCATTATTATCACTATATTTTTAAAAAGTTTGTTTATCTAATGAGTTTTTATCAAAATATAATTTTAAAAAGAAATAAGAAAAAAATATTAATAACACATAGTTATTATAATAAGTAGAAGCAACTAAGTTCTGTTATAACTTTTTATGGAACCAAATAATAACAATTGAAGCCATAGAAATGTTAAAATTAATAAATAAAACTATACCTAATGTGTTTGTACAATATTGTTACAAAAGTTACAACACACACTAAAAACTGGTTTTATTAGTACACACCTAAGTGACCATGGACTCTGGTTTATTATTAATTAATTCAATATTCTCTATATAATTCTAATCACCTAATTTCAATATTTGAATAGTTCATGCATAACAAAAATTATATTTGTCAATTTTGTTAAAATATGTATGGTATAAAAATAATAGTAATATAAAATATATATATCAGTGTACCTATAGGTATAATATTTTAAAATATTAACTACTATGAGTACATAGTAATTTAATTATATCATGTATATAAAATGTAATATAGTTTTTTATTCCTATAGGAATATTAAAAACAATTTGAAAGTAATTTTATAATTATTTTATTATAATAACTCTACTCATTGTGTACCTATTGGCTTTTACCATGCTATTTTGTTCCAGTAGATGTTATTACTACATATTTAAAATTTTTTTTCTTCTTAGTGAAATGAAAAGTATAAGAAAAAGGGCAAGTGGATGTCACAACTGCTGTAAAATCGGTGCAAGTGGGTCACTACTGTGATCGATAGTGTTAAATTTGAATTCAATGACCTGAAATGATTGTATAACGCAAAACAATTCTGATTAAAGGTAATTCATTTTAAATACCTTCGGCGGCATTGTTTATCACCGTAGCATACATTCATTTATGGCCAAATACATTTGAAAATGTCATGATGTGTATAACAATCTAGTATCTACTCTAATATTAGTTATTTTTTGTAAGTTTCATAATATTAATTCATTGTATTAAAACCATAATACGATATAATATAATACTAAAAATAATACAAAATATCAGTGGATAAACTGACAAACTGTCTCCCCTCAGTATTGTTTTTTGTATACAATGATTTTATATCATTGAATTAAAATTTAATGACATCCACTGTACAGTGACCCACTAACCCATCTTTTAAAATTTAAAATTCGATAAATGTTGTCAAAAAAACAAACTTTAAATTCACTCTAAAAAAATTGAGCTTATGTATTTTTAATATCTTTTACCTACTATTGTAACAATATATCAGGAACCTTGTATTAATTGTTCATAGTATTTGACCCAACAAATAAAATTGTATAGAAAAAAAAAACTAAAAAAATTGAAAATATCCGTAAATAGCTCGAAAAAAGTCAAAATATTTTGAAAATTGTATCAAATATAGGAATTGATAAATAAAACATGTGGTATAAATTTCAAATGATTATAAAAAAGATTCATACCATGTATTTAATTTTCAAGCTTTTTGACACAACTAATAACATTTAATTGACATTTATGGAAAAAAAAACTAAAAAAAACTGTTAACTGAAAATGTCCGTAAACCACTCAACACAAGTCAAAATTATTTGAAAATTAGTACGTTTACAGAAAAATGCTAATATAAACATTCAGTGAAAATTTCATGTACCTACGGTAGTTTGTTTCAAGTGCCCCGGGCAAGAGCAAAAAAAATTAGGAAAAATGGGAAATAGTTATGCAAAAATCGATTTTGGTTTTTGGTGTAACTTCAAAACAGATTATTTGTGGCTTGGTGTGGCGCAGTGCGTGCGCTCAACTGCGGAAACGCACTGAGTGTACGTAACGGCCGGTGCTGCTGGTTTCCGGATGGGTGACCACCCGGAAATTTTAGCAACAAATCCTTGCCTAACATACAAAAAAAGTGCTTTTTAAACCGTTTCCTCCCCCTAATAACAACCTACAAACAAACAAACAGCTAATGGCCGAAGTTGCCAGGCTCAAGTTCAATAAAAAAAAAAATAAAAAAACAAATGAAGTATCGTAAATATTTGAAATTTTTACTGAATGTTATAAATAGGCGCAATTTGGGGGTGCTAGGGGTTGCTTGGCACCCCCAAATGTTTGGATAACATCATCAGAATTTTTATGATTTAATATTATGCCATAGGTATTTGGATACAATTATTTCTAAGACCTTATCATTTTTATAATAATGATAATATCAGAACAATATTATAGACCATATTGTATTGTATGAGATAATGGTTATATTTAGATTAATGTGAAGGTGTATAAAATTAAGGTATATCAATGGAGGGGGTGTGGGGGGATGGGCAAAGCCCTCCAGTGATCACTTTACTACTTTAGTCGACATAAATCTAGCACCCCGATAAATTTAACCCAAATTGCGCCTATGTCTTTAATTAGCATTTTCTTTACACCATAAAATTAAAAAAATATTTTTACTTGTTTTGAGCTGTTTACGAAAATTTTCAGTTTGTTTCCAATTATTTTAGTTTTTTTGTCTATATAAATGTCAATAAAATCGTATTATGGTGTCAAGAAGCTTGACAATTTAATCCAAGGCGCCTAATATATTGTTTCAATGGCAGTTGACAAATATCAAAAATACATAGACAATTTTTTTTTATAAGCATTTCATGTTCATCAAAGATGAATTAAGACTCGAGAGTGTCCAAACAGGTTTTTCTTTCCGACATTGCCCATATTATGAAGATAGTACCCCCTCCTCATGATTATTCCTTATTACGTAGTATATTGGAAATACCACTGCTATCATCACGCCGACAAGATCCTGATGAACACTTCATAACCTCGCTAATAGGACCTAGGTGGCACTATAGATGCTCCTGATATCCTCTCCAACGTAAGTCTTCGAATCCCTTCCTTCTTCTCCAAAAATCACCCCCTCTTTCAAAAACCAATCCACAACACATCCTATGGACACAAATACACAATCATCCATAACATAGAATGCTACGTAAAATAAATAATGCTAATTTTGATTTTTAAAAATGTATTATTTATAAATTTGCTGTACTATACTATACACTATGTTACTATATTATGTTTATATTGAGTTTTATTTTCTATATTATGTTTTTTGTTACTGGGTGTTATAAACATTTATTACATATTAATATATTAATTTTAAATGTATCCATAAAATTGCCGATCGGCGTATATACATAAATAAATAAATAAATCATTCCTCATGAGTTTTTCTATCTTTATCAATATCTGTAATTCAAAAACAAATAACCGCAGATACTTGTAATTTGGTACCGCGAAAAAATAACCCTGGAAATTTAGACCCCGAAAAAATAACCACCGACAAAATAACCCCATAGGCCAAATTGCCATAATATGAGATTTTTCAAATTAATCTCAAATCCATACAAAATGTATAACATACCTATATTGGCTATTACCTACGTACAATATTAATTTTGGATTCAATGATAAATTATTGTATATACCCACGATAAAAACAATTCAGAGCTCTACATTAGAACTCTACATCATACGAATTGAAAAATATAGTGCATTTTTTACTGTTTACTTGAAAAAAAAAATCAATCTATTTAAGAAATAATATTCAAAGTTATTATATCAGTCTGCGAAAAGAACAATCTTTTTCCAGATCCACAAAATATAAAAATAGACTTTGAAAAGGCATTAATAAATGCAGCAAAAAATGTATTAGGTGAACATTTAATAATAAACGGATGTTTCTATCACCTATGCCAGAGTACTCACAGAAAATTGGCAGAATTAGGATTAAAAAAAAAATACCTAGAAGATTATGATTTTAATGAATTCTGTGGTACCTACCTATGTTAGATGGCTTGGCTTTTTTACCACTAAATAGGTTACAAGAAGGTGTTGAATATTTAAAATTAACTATTCCTCCGAGGAGTTCTTTCAATATTTTGACGAAACCTACGTGATGTGGAACAATACGTCGAATAAATAAAAAATTAAATAAATAAATAAATAATAAATTTTTATTATAGGGTTATTTTTTCCGTGGTTATTTTTTCGGGGTTATTTTTTAGGCAAATCTTGTAATTTACACCATATGTTTATTTTTATCGTTTCCTATACTTGATAACATTTTCAAAAGATTCTCCTTATAACTTTCATTAATAGGACTTGGCACCCGCATAAATGTTATCTCCGCCTTACACGTGTACGACATACAACATTTTACGCTCAGCAGATCACGTTAGGCTGCGTACGAGTTGATACCCGGGCCATTATAGGGTAGGTACGAGTTGATTCCCTATTGTTGTATATCAATTATCAATAGATTGCACGAGTAAAGAGTTAAGTTTTTAGCTTTCATTCTAAACTCAACAGTTGTTTCTATAGTGGGCACCCAAATATTTTTGTATTTATTAATGAGCCGTTAGAAGTACAATCAGAAACGTATATTAAATGCAGGAGTAATGGAACTAAAAAATCTAAAAAACAAATTTTTTTAAGAGAAGAGATGTCACGGTATACTGGTAATCTCATTACCAGATACCAATTCATAAAAACAACGTGTTACAAATTTTTACCAAATTATTACATTTTTTTATATTTTTTTACCTAGTGGCTAGTTACTATACTAAATGTTTTTAATAATAATTTTTTACCTAATTACTACTAAATGTTTTTAATAATAATAAATATAATATAATTCAATAAATAATTAATAAATAAAAATTGAATGATTTTCAAAATATGAAAAAACTAAAAAAAACAACATTTTTAAGAAACTTGTCAGCCAACCTCCTCGTGGTGTTTCTTGGGTTATGCTAATAGGCTGAATATTTTACTAAATATTGAATAAAATATATAATGACCTGGGAATCAACTCGTACGTACCTTTTAATGACCCGGGAATCAACTAATACATGAGAAAGGTCTCGGGAATCAACTTACAAGTTTACTAGGGAATAATCGAAAAGTTTTTGAACATTTTTCTTTCAGCTGTGATATCCAAGAATAAAAATATCGAAAAAATATGATATTTTTGTATTTATTTTATTCTTTATGACACTAACAATAATTGGAATATTCAAAATCGCCTCGATCATTCCCTAGTAAACTTGTTGATCAATCATAATCCGTTTTCAAAATTAAATCTGTCGAACCAAATTCTTCCAGTTTTGTCTAGCTTATTGGTCTAGTCATTTTTTTTTCATTGACTGGAGCCCCCTTCAGCCCCCTTTATGGTTTATTTTATGATACGGAATTTAAACATATTGAAAAACATTATACCAACAAGATTAATGTTTAGACTGGTCAAATCTACATTAGTTTCGACTTTTGACAAAATCTACTGCAGCCCCCTTAATTTATTCATGATACCTTGTTGTACTTCCAAAACTAACAACCATAGACTCTTGAAATGTTCAAAAAAGTTTAATAAAGTTTAATAAGCTTAATAATAAATAAAACAATATAAAATATCCAGACTGACAAACTGTCTCTGCTCAGAATCGTTTTTCTTACAGTGATATTATATCATTGAATTCAAATTTAATACAATCCATTATACATTGACCCACTTATAACCCACTGTACAGCAGAGCGACATCTACTTACCAGCTTTTTTATTAATTTTTTTTCAATTATTAAATTTGATTATTTACACAAGTATGGTATGATGAAACAACGTCTCCTCTCAGAATCGTGTTTTTGTATACAATGATTTATCAATGAGTTCAAATATAACACATCCATTAAAATGAAATGCTCAATAACTACTGTACAGCAGAGTAATAATAATAATAATAATAAGTACTAACCCACTTGCCCACCTTTTTTAAATTTTTATCATATAATATGGTTGGTTTGTGCGTTGATACAAAACATAAATATATAATTCCTTGTTTTTAATTTAAAAATGTATATTTTGGGTATAATATAAGGGTTCAAAATCGGGGTATGCCTAGGCGCCCAGGCCTACTATGCCAGACACATCTATGTTACTAAGGTATTGACATTTTAAACATCTTTAAATACTATACTACTAAAATTTTTTAGTAAAATAATTCAATACCAATTATGGTTCTTAGTAATTGATTGCAAAAGAGTTCATAAAATAATTTACTTACCTTAGTTATTTGTTCATCATCTGATGAACTAGAATCTGGATATTTATCATTAAGTCCTTCATCTTCTGAAAATAATACTACATCATCAGTTTCTTTATCACTACCATAGAAACTATCATTATCTTCAGGAACATTTTTAAATGCATTTGGAACTTTAACATCATGATCAGCACCAATAATTCTGTATGTATCTAACAATTCTATTTCTTTATGCAGTATAACTTCTTTACGGTTATCAGTTTTTGGACTTTGCCATGCAGTTATAGTTGTATGATGAGTTTTGTTTACTTTAACACAAACAGAATCCGTAAGATTATTTTGTTCCTCTTCTAAAGATGGAATATACTCCTTGCCTAAAGTATAAAATATATTGAAAAAGAAATAAGATATCTAATTTAAAAAAAAAATTAATTACTATGTAAGCTTTCTAAACTAGACTTTAGTGAATCATTTGATGCCAGTTTTTGTCGCTTGACTAAAATTTCACAAGGGCTCAAACATGATTTTTTTTCTGTATTTTTCCTTCTGTATACAATTTGAGGCCATTTTTCCTCATCTGTTTCATCTGCATCTGTTTCTGTATCCTCAGATAACTCAACCATTTCTGCATAACCCTCAGGAACTGCATGGTGAACTGCAGTTACTTCACCACGACTAATAACACTAGACTTTAGTATTTCATGTTCTTTAATCTCAACCATGACACACTCTTGGGTATTATTTTCACATTTAGGTTTCACAAAAGATTGAAAAACTGAGGGATCTACTTGTGATACTTGTGAAAATAACATACTGTTTTTAGTCAATTGAAATGTATCATCTTCTTCATTATGTTTCAATAATGCTTTATGGTCTTTTTTATTTTCTTCTTCAGTAACTGTTATTTCGGGAACAGATGTTTCCTTAAATTGTATGGATTTATTAGACTGACCTTCTAATTTTTCACTTGTCGTTATTGTAGGCATATCCTGAAAGCATTTAGTATACTTTTATTCAATTAATAAAAAAGAAAAATTAATTTAAAAAATAATTTTATAATTATCCTTTACATTGATAATTACAGATTAGTTGTAATATTCTAAAATATTATTAGATTATTCAAATATATAACAATTATAGATATTCAAATAATAGTTGTAAGCAAAATTAGTCCATCTTATTACTATTATACAACTAACCTTCAGTAATGTTGAATTATTATGAAGTTTATTTAGAACTAATTTCCATCTATTAGAAATTATATCAAAACGCTCACAATATGTGTCATCATCGCATAAAGGATCTTTAAGGGATTTAAATTCAATATAACGATCATAAATTGAATTTTTAACCTTTTCGTAATTTTCAATATCTTGATCTAATGTTTGCTATTAAAAAATACAATTATACATTGTAAATTGTAAAAATAAAAATGATTGTGAATCTTACTTTAATAAATTTCATTGTGACTTCTGCATTTTCCTCAGTTAATTGAGTATTTTCAAATTCATCTAATTTTTGTTCCACTTCAGTCAACCAGTTAGACATAATATCAATATTAGTGTCAAGGAAATCTAAAGCACTTAAGCCTTTTTCTAGCTTATATTTTGTATCAATAATATCCGCTACCAACTAAACAAAAAAAATATTTTTTGATAAATTTAAATTCTTAAACTGAATTGTTGAATAAATCATAAAAAAACAAATGAAAACTATCAGTGGAGGATTTTATGAAAATGAATCAGGTAGTAAATGTTGTAAAGAGTCCATTTTTTTCCCAAGGTAGATCTTCATGAACATTTTTCTATTTTGTAAAAGTATGATGTTAAATCTCTTTTTCAACATTTTTATAGAGATTCAGATAGATGTTGCATTTAATTTTTAACATAAATTATAGTACAAAATATAAAAAATATATTGATTCCCAAATAGATGTATTATATTTTTTCTATCATTATAAAATAATAATAAAAAACAAAATGGGGAATTTATTTGAAATAAAAGCTATAATAATATGATGGAAATTGTACATTTTTTCCCTTATTAAATGTTAATGGAAGTAATTTCTCAAAACTTAACTTACCTTGGAATACAACTGTTTTATAGTTTCTAGCTGTAGTTGATTTTCACAAGTTTCATTTGAACTTATCACAAATTCTACTTCACTTTTTAAATTTTCTAACGTAGAACTCATTTTCTGTAATATTTGTTTTTTAAATAAGTATTAGTTAAAAAATTAAAATAAAGATTTATGTTTAACATAGAGTAAAATTTACTTTTCTAACAAAATAACTAGTTAATATTTTTATTGTTTATTCAATATTCAGATTTTTATATTACATATAATATGGTTTACTTTGCAAAGGACTTTTAAAGAAAATAAACCTTTTTTTATTAAAATAGAAAATGTACAATCTGTAGCATTTGTACGATAAGCAAATATAATATATAAGGCAAATAATTTACATGGTGACTTTGTATAAGGATAGAGGCTGACCAGTAACAGAACTCTTGAGTGGTTTGACTTAAAAAAATAAACTAATACCATGTGCAATTTTGTATTCAATGCTAAGCCCTATTCCAAGTTTATTTTGTGAGAATATAAGAAGAATTATAATGCTAAAATCGAAAATGATCAACTTTCAATGATAACTGATTGTAGTAAAAAACAAACACATATTACGTTATTATGTTAAGAACAATTTTTTATGATTATAACTATTATTTATCATAATGTCTGTTGCCTTAAATAATAAGTCACATAATATTTTTTAAAAAAAATAACAACAATTTAGTATTATACTGATACGAGTGTAATTAAAGTGTTGAGTCATTTATTTACAATAAGGAACTTCAATCGGTGGCGAAACTAGAAAAAACTTTCAGGGGGGGTTTTACCCCCCCCACCCTGGTTGTGCTACTGACTTCAATCCAAATAACTTTTTTAATAGGTTTTCCTTATATTTTAAATTATAAATATACCAAACACATTCTAATCATACTATGCAATAGCCAATAAGTCTATTTAAGCACAAGTAATAATTACCAAACATTGTTCTAATTGTCCTTTGATGCTATCAGGATCGTCAGATGCCAGCTCTAAAAGACAAATAGTATTTTCAATAGATTGTAATTCTCTCAACACTCTAGTAACGCGAGTGGGTAAATCTCCAGGAGATTGATATCTTTCAAATTTCTCTTCCAGCTGATAGAAACGTTTCTAAACAACAATACAGTAAAACAATCAATTAAAATAACCATTATAGTGTTTAAATATACTAAACTAAAGTACAGTTAGAAAATAACACTTTCAATTTTACTAAATAAATTATATTAATTATGGAAAATAAATTGTATAAACAAATCAAAGTAGATACTCAACTCTTTTAATTTAAATACATTTTGAATTGTTAAATATTAAATTAAATAGCTCACTTTTAATAAAGACAGTTGATCTTTTAATCGATTGGCTACTTCTTTTTTATTTGCTATTTCATAGTTACAAATTTGTTCTTCCATATCATGCAAAAGTTTGGCTTGATTTTGGAATTCATTTGATAATCTCTGTTGTACACAAAAACCAATGTCAATAAAAAATATTTACAATTATATTCAGAGCTAATAACTTTAGTCGTTATAAATATAATAAGAATCAGACATGATTCTTAGTAAATGGGAGAATAGAATCTTTGAAATAAATAAAAAAATTACTATCAATTCAAATGGCTTAGATAGTATGATAGATTCATATGTAACTGCCGTTTGTCTTTGATAATCCTATGCATTACAATTATATTTATTATAACACAATACTAGTTCATAATTAAAATAATTAAGTAACACAACTATGTTAAAAAACACTTATTACTTAATAATATAAAAATATTTATAATAAACATTAAACAACATAACATTTAGAAAATTGTATTAATAATTCCAAGAAATATTCTAATATTTAGAAGAAAAATACAATCTATAAAAATGAAAGAGAAAAATCTTAATGATATATGACTTTCAAGATAATTTTAAATCAACTATAAAAAAACAATGTCTAATAATCTTTTATTTATTTTTTTTGATTCTTCAACCGACACCTTACCATAGATTTTTATATAATATATCTTAAAATCAATGGTACAACGATTAAACTCTTCATCAATTTGTAACTACAAAATTATATTAGAGTAGTATAAACTGCAGACATGAAACAATTAAAAAATATAAAGAGCTGGCATTATTTAGATAAACCGAAGAGGAGCCTTAAACCCTGTCATTGTTATTTAGGATTATAAGACTGATATTTCACACTAAGGGGATTGGAAGCGGTGATTTTTTCTTTGTCTACACATGTCGAACATAGGAAAAATAGCTATACACCTGACAACAATTAAGGTACTTCTAGTTGTTTGATTTTCAAAATGTAAAGATGTTTGAATTGATATAAAACTTTACTTTGCAATGGTCGGAGAACTTTTTCAATTGTAGCAATATTTTGATATCTATATATTATATATCTTTACATTTTTTTTTAAATCGAACAACTAGAAGTACCTTAATTTTTGTCAGGCGTATAGCCATTTTTTCTATGGTCCACGTGTGTTAGACAAAGACCGCTTCCAATCCCCTTAATTGTATGAAGATCCCTTCAATAACCTATTCTTCATTATTTATTGTTGTTACGATACTCTTTAGTATTAATCAAGTTGACAGCAATTTCTGCAAAATAATGAAATACCAGTATATTGAAAAAAAAATAGTGGTACAACATTTTTTTAATTTTAACCCTGTATATTTTTAAGCAATTGTTTTACCACAGTAACCTAGCCAATGGAGTTTTGGACAGCAAATTAAAGAATATTTTTGTGTTAAATTGTTTGAGACTTGTATGGATTTACAGGACAAAAAGATTTTACCATGTGGTAAAATAGCAACTAAAGGAATGTTTTCGATTTAACCAGTATGGGCTGGTTAGTGAGCTGGTGAACTTTAGCTGGTCCTTCAAGGTAGTTTAGTAATTTACAGTATTCTTTGTTTTTTCATCTCTAATATTAAAATATTAATATGGAATGTTTTCCCTGTATAAGTTTGTTTTTTATCAATATTCAACATACACAATTAAGTGGTTAATTTATTATATTTGCATTTTTTGTTGAATAATTAATTTTACTTAAAAGTTTTATTAAGTATTTAAAAAAAATGTATTATTATCAATAAAAAAAATTATTTACTTAAACGGGATTTAAGTTTGAAATAATTCTTAATCCAGTATTAATGATTCTTATATATCAAATCCTGAACATCTCCAGTAAATAAATATTTACAATAATACAAAACATATGAACGGTTAGAGCAAAATCTATTCATTTATTAATAGATTAACTTACTTCAACATCATTAGGTAAATCTTGTGGTGAGAAATCATTTTGAATCCGAGATGTAAGTTGTTGATCAGTAGTTTCAAGCCATTGTTGAAACTCAGCAATGCAATTTTCAGATTTTTGAGTCTGTTCAATGCTTTCTTCTAAACGTTTAACTTTGTCTTCTGCCTAACATAAATGTTTACAATTAAGAAAAAATTAAAATATTTTGTATTTTGAGGTTAATGGTTAAAGCATATTTTAAGATAATATTTTAAATTATTCTAAGTCTTAAACATTTCAATTTTAGAGAAGGAAAAAAAACAGACAAAAGCAGTCCCTGTTGTCCGCAATGCCAGATAAAAAATAAATAATACATTTAACTTTAACAATTAACAATAACAAAATAAATAATTACTTGAGTTGTAAGTTTTTTGCAGCGTGATGTAACTTTAGCTAAATCCACTTTTATACTAGATGCCATTACATTGTGATCTGATAAAACTGCACCGATTTCATTTAATCGATCAACCCTGGATTCTGGATGATTTCTAAGGCAATTTTCTAGGTCCTATAAAAGATAAAAAAAATATTAAATATGGTTAATACTTTCTTCAAAAGCTTGGTATTTTGATAAAATTAATTAATTAAATAAAAATGATTGCATTTACTTATTTCTTTTTAAATGATTTTTTTTTTATGAAATATATTTTTAATCCATATTTCTTATTCTCAGTTTAACTAACTTCACAAATTGTTCAAGAATCATAAAAACAACTTGAGAAAATTTGTGTAGTCAGTAAGATAGGTCACATTATAGAAATTTAAACTAAATTAGTTACATTTTTTTGTAAAATAAAGTGTAAATAATATACTTACATCCAGTTCTTCGGATATTTCTTCTGCATCAGTTGCTATAGTTTTTACACTTTTTTTAAGACATTTATCTAATTTGTCAAGCCATACATTCTCTTGAGACATTAAAACTATAAACATACAAATATTATATTATATTATATACATTATAAATAATTATATTTATCTAACAGCCGTGAACAAAAACCCTGGGTAATGTTTGTATGGATATTTCTATACATATAGTAGGTAGATTTAAAAATACTTTTTTATAATAACAATAACAAATAAGAAACTTCCATGTTGATAACTATACTCTAATTTTTAATAATAAATATAAATTTTTCTTGTATTAGATATAACGTTTTAATAAATAAATTATACCTAATGAAATTAATGAAATAAGCTCCCAGGTGTTATTCACATATGAATTAACTTTATGGTCTCATTTTTAAATTTTTTTTTTAATATTGGAAATTGAAACAGGTTTCAATTTTAATGGTGAAGGTTGAAAAACAGACTAAGACTCCATAGGTCAAAAACATTAACAATAAATAACTAACCTTTAAACTCAGAGTGAAGTTGTACATCTTGTTGCAGACGGTTTCTTATTAGTTGCACACCATCAAAAACTTTACTCCACTTTAAAACTAACATTTTAACATTATCGTCTTGACTGAGTTCTGCATAAGATAAGTATTAAGTAATTAAATCAATAAATTTCTTTATTTAACACTAACACTAACCAAGTTTTTCTAATTTTGGTTTTTTTTCCAAAAGTTTGTCATGCAGAGTGTGGTATTTATTCTTTAATTTTATAAGTTCACCAGCTGAACTTACAGGATCCTTCTCTCGATATGAATGACATTTTTCCACTTCAGATACACACTTTTTTACATCAGTAAAATCCTGAAGTAATAATAGTAATTAATAATAATTATTAATGTCTGATAATAAATTATAATTTTAAAAATTGAGACAATTTCAAATGCACAATTGGTAAATAATATTATATATGTAATAAATTACTTTTTCTAATGTTTTTAATCCCTCAATAGCAATATCTTCTTTAAATTTCACAATTGTATTTAACTTTTCCTTAATAGATTCTAATTTCTGATTCATATCGACCTTAAATTTTGTATCCACTGATGACTCAAATATATTTATCATATCACCATGCAGTTTCTCATATAATTGAGATACAGAATCGCAGACATCCTGTAAATAAATTATTTATTTATAAAATATTAATTTAACGTTTTCTAACTTTTATGTTATTTTATTTTCATACATTTATCATTTTTAAATCTGGTTGATCACTTTGAGAATTATAATAATTGAACAGATCTTCACTTTGTTCCATCAAATCTTCTAATGTCCTGAAATTAGATTCTAATTCTAGAACTAAAAACAAATCTAAAAATAAACACAGTTTAATTAGTAATTAATGTGAACTAATTTATTAAAAATTCTAAATTCTAAATACCTTTTTGTAACTTCAAAATCCGTTCATCTAACAGTACTGGAATATCACTCCATCTTGTATTTAAATCTTGAAGGTCTTCAGTTAACCGTTCTGCAGCTATTTCACTATTTAACTTTTCTAAAATATCTTGTCCAAGTGTATTTACCATTTCTAAAGTATCACGACGGTCATTTACTGACTTTTGCATTTCTTTTAATTGTTCTAATTGATTTGTCAAAACTTTTGAATAATTCATTAGAACTGGTTCACCTAATAATACACCTTCTAGTTTATTAATCCAGCCAGTAAGCTCTTCTTTGGATTCTTTAAATTTTATGTTAGAATTAGTTTCTTGTGATAACTTTGCTTGTATTTCGTAAGTAGAAAATCTAAAATAAAAAATTATTGTAAAATGTGAAGTGCTTTTTTGAATTTATTTTACATACTTTTCGTTCAAAGAATTCCAACTAGATACATATTTTTCAACTTCATTTCTTATGGGGTCATTAGAATCCAATAGTTTACTATGTGTGTGTAGTTTAGTAATACGCTCTTCAAGAGATTTTAATGATTTTAATTTTACCTAAAATAGTGTTATTTAATTACATATGTTGTCAATTATTATAGTTACATTTTAATGCTTTCACTAACCTTTATTTGTTCAAATGTACAATTTCCACTATCCAGCCATTTAGCATATCCATCAAATATTAATTTTAAATTATTCATTTCTTTTGATGTGTGTTTTTTTTCAAGGTTATATTTTATTTTATTTTTGAATATAACCAAAGAAGTTTCCAAATCACTAAATTCTGTACATAATGTATTATAGTGATCCACTTTGTGAAATGGAGTATTGTTACCTATGGGAAAAATAATTATTTATCAAGTTATTTTAATTAATAATTTTAGTAATTAAAATTAAATTAACATTACTTTCGCTTTTTGTAATGAATTTACTAGCAAAATCTAACTGAGATTTTTGATTATCAATTTCAGACATTATATCTTCATATAATGCCGCTTGCTCTTCTACTTCTAAAGGTTCATCAAGCAATTTTTGAGTTCTTATTAGCCAATTACTCAAGTTTGATGTAGCATTATCATATTCATCTTCTTGAAATGATCCACCCTTCCTTCTACGCTTCCAACCAAGTTCCTTAAAAATAGATTATATCATGTTATATTAAATAATAAAGATGCAGTTAAGACAAATAAAAAACACAAAAAGAATAAAATTATTAAAAAAATATATATACCTCAACATCAGACATATTTAAACTACCATCAAATGAATTGTCTTCCAAAAGTTTTTCATCTGGTTTATCTGAATTTGAATTGCATATTAAATCAAATTCAAAACCAGCATCTAATATCTAAAATTGAAATACAAAAATAGTTTTAAGTAAACTTATTAATAATTTTTAATTAATATAGAGAAACTATTTTTAAATGTCTTTTGGTAATTATAAAACTCAATTTTCAATAATTTAAAATGTTATCTATTATTTCATCATAAAATAAGATTTTAGTTTATCTTATGATTTTTAAACAAATTCATAATCCAAACATTTTATTAAAAATAAAAATATTTTTCCGAAAATCAAATGTAATATTTTTGTTGTATAATTATTAATTTACTATAATATATAATTATGATTTAAATTTTTAGCGGAGAAATAGGACAGTAGCTCGGGTAGAAATTCTTCTGATTTTGTGATTTTGTGTTTGGAGCGTGTCCTGTGAATAAATCTGGACCAATAGTGTTCAAATGGTGTTTTGTGTTGGTTAGGTTTCAAATATAAATAGCAGACAATCTCGGGCACGAAATGTCTGTTATTTGGAGATTTTACTATACTTATGTAGCACTATGCATCACTATTCACAGGTGAAATGTCTCCTGCCCCCAATCAAAATAGTTGCCCTATCTGACCAATTTTGTACTTTTGCACCCTCCCAATCCCTCCACCAAAATTAAACACTGGATAATAATGGAATTGATTAATTCTACAAAAAATGCGACGTATTAGAATTTGCTTGAATAGCATATATTATTTAAGCTGAATATCAAATCAGTAATCAGTAGGTGGTTGCATTAGGGTTAGGAATGTAGGGGTACCCAGAACAATATCTAGTCCGGGCAACAGAGTGAGCAAGGCTGCTGCATGATTTTTTTTAGCTTTTTTTCAAAATGTATACTATTTGGACATGGAACGTCTGTACACAAATTGAAATACACTGGTGTTCTACCCAGGGACTGGAACTGAACCGAAAGGAACTGGTTCTGTAACCCAAAAACCATTAAAATATTGGGAACCGGAACAGAATATAAATATTTTAAAATAACCAGAACTGAAACCAGAACCCATATTTTTGAGTAACAAAAATTTATTTTTACAAGGATTATTTTGTGTTTACCTCAGTTGCTTGTGCTTAATTTATTGGCTACCATAAATGCAGAAGTGCTTTGGTAAACTATGTTTACTTAATTTTAGAGATGTAAAATCTGGAACCGAAACCAAAACCAGAACCTTTAAATTAAATATTCAAAACCCGAACCGGAACCCTATTATAAAAATAATTAAGTACCGGTACCAGAACAGGAACCATAAAAACCTGAAGGTTCCAGTCCCTGGACTTCTACCTTGACACTTTCAATAGTCATTCCTTATTCATTTTTTAGTGTTGGAATGGTGTCTGGCACCAGTCCAGTACCAATAAATTTAATAACTGACATTAACTGAGTCCCAATATTTCTACCTCGGAGTTTATTGTGATTAATTAAATAAACATACTCTTTGAGCTTGTATTTCAATAATTTGTACTAAAGCATCACATCTGTCTTGTAGAGTTTCTATTTTTTCTGAGTAAGGACAATCTTCTGTGTATAAAAATTCTTCTTCCAAACTCTGAATTTTAGTTTGAAGATGAATAATATTTTTTTGTTGACTTGACATTTGGTGGCGTAAAGTCTATAATAATTAACACATTATTAATTATTTCAATAAACTTCTTAGTTATAGGTAGTAAAATATTTTACTTGTAACTGCTTGATTCTATCTAAAATCTCTGCGACTTCAGTAACATGTTTAGATTCCATATGTTTAAGATTTATTTCTTTCGAATCAAACCATGATTGTAACCATGACAGTTGTTCCGTAATACGACTACTCTTCATTAATAATGTCTGTAACTTAACACCATATTCTTCAGCCCATTTACAAATATGAGCCCAACGTTCGCCCAATGCAGATAACTCATCTTCCATCTGAACATGCACTATAAAATAATATATTATTTAAACAAAATTTAAGAAAAAATTTTTTCTAGAATTTTACAGTTTATTATTTATATTATTGATTCATTCCTAAACTAAGTATGTTAATAGGTTATTGACATTTTTATAAGTGATGATGTATAATATAAACAGACATATTTATTATTATATACCAGAGGTGTTGAAACTTTTTCATACCAAGGGAGGGAGCTATGTGTTTTTACAATATTTTGAGGGCTCCCAAATGTAAATTTCCTATTCAGTTGTTAATCATAGACAAAAAAATTGTGTATGTTTTGTTATTGTTTCCATAATTGCTATTTGCTATCATCAATAAATTTAAATTTCTTTTTGTTTCTGGTTCTTTGACTCAGCTCCCCTCGCCAACTACTGTCACGCCCCTAGAAACTGCACGGTAGGAATACCTCTGTAATAACACTGATTAAGGACCTATTTATATTTTATACATCATTGCTAAAAATATGGTGATAAAAACAAGATATAAATATGTCATTGCTCTGGCATTAATAATTTTTTTTCAATTTTCTATTCCTGATCCATTCTTTAAGTAGCGCCTGTGTATTCTTAATTAAGAATTATGTCTTATGATAAATGTATTACTAAGCAGTAAGCAATAAATCTGGTAATAAACAAGAATACTCAAAGAATGCAGTATTAACTGTAAGTAATAGGAAAAACACAGTGACTAAAATTGTGTGTAGTACAAAATACTAAGTGTGGAATACGAAATTAAAAAGTGTGTAATAGCCTGTAATAACTAGTAACTTATTTTACAATTTTTTCTTCATTATTTGAAAATGTACACTGGGAAATATGTAGATAAGAATTTTAAATATTCATCATGACAAGATAGATAGGTATGTCAGCAACTTTTTGATACGCATCGTGTTTGTCGACCACTCCTCATCCCGTCTATTAACTGGTTCACCACTCTATGTTGGCCGGGTAATTTAACGGCCAATGAAATCAGGAGAACTACGACTATGGTTGGGAAGGGTGGGATGCGCTAACCGGTCTACGTCTCGTATTGTTAATACATACCTATCTATTTCTTCATGATATTATTATATTAATTATTAATTATTATTATTATCAAGAGTCGTTTTTACAAGTTTTACTTATAATTACAATATTTAAAATATTATAAAATTTATTTTTATTTTTATTTGACATAAACAATCTATACTATTTTTAGCACAATAAGCTTATATGATAAAAGTAAATTATATTAACATGAATGTTGTGAATAAGCAGCCACCCATTAGTGGCTCTTGACTATAGAGTAATTATTAATTTTTTTTTTCTAAAGAAGTTACACATTAAAGTTATGTAAAAGGTAGTGGCACCACATTCTTTTTAATCTGAGGTTAGGATTTCCTGGGAGTGTAAGGATGGAAAGATCTTTTATGTAAGGGTTTGGATGCGCTTGAAGTCATTTATGAAAATGTGTGTAGAAAATGTGTGCTTCCATTTCTATTGTTCACACATGGAGATCGTTATGAAGGGCTAGGTTAGATACATAGGGTGGAGTATTGGATAATCATCGGAGCGATATATTTTGGAATGTTTGAATTCTATTAGTGTTACATTTCTTTGCCGTGCCCCATAGTTTAAGTCCATATGTCTACATTTGCTTGAGTAGAGATTTGTTGAATAATAGTTTGGTTTTAATATTATCAAATAAAAATAAAAATATTTTGAATGATAGTTTAATTTTACAAATAATTATCAAACAACAGTTAATGAATTTAGGTACTTATTCTTTTAAAAGAACCATGAACACAGGTATGTTGTTTCAAATTATGATATAAAACAAAATAATATTATTGTTAATGTTTAAAAATGATTTATTTTATATTAATTTTTTTAATGATAAGTATTAAATAATAATAATGTGGTAATTACACTAATTATCTTTTAAAAAATATTTGATTAATAAATTGCATGTGATTGAGAGTAATATTGTACTCTGGGGATCATTTTTTTCTAGAATCGGAGATTTTTATTTTCGAAAATTCACTGTCTGTATATTATAGTTCAGTGCATTTACTGTACAATCATGTATAATAATTAATAATCATACCAATATACCGACATAAACTGTTTTACTGTTTTGTAGGCTGTACTCTGTAGATAAAGAAAATTACTACTCCATGTTTATGTGTATAGTAATTTACTTTTTTTTTTGGTTGGGAGGGGGGGGGCAAAGCTCCCCACGGTAACTCCAAGTTTTATATAGTGTGTAGTACGAAAAAAATTATATTTTAGCCAGTCAAAAACATAATTAGAATTTAGAAGTTAACAAAATAATGGAAGAGTAAGAAGAATTTAGAAGTCTAGTAGAAAGGCAATCTCAGATAGAATACTGAATAACCAAATAAATATAGAAAAAAAATAATAATAACAAATAACTCAAAAATACTTACCAGAATCAGGGAATGTATTTTCATCTATAACAACCACAAGATTAGATAATGAATCAACTGATAGCTGCTGTTTCCTTAAATCAGCTCTAAGTGCAGAGTGTTCTTCAAGCTGTGAACGTAAGCAGTCAACATTCATTTTTGCAGATTGTGACAAATGTGATATACGATCTTCAGTTTGTGTTAGCCACAAACGTAACTCATCTAATTGTTTTTGCTGGATCCCCATTAAAGATTCGTGTATTCTAAATTAGTAACAGTGAAATAAATAAATAATAACCTTATTTAAATAAAAATATAATTCACTTACTTGGTTTGTCTTTCCATAGCAGTAATTCTTAATTTTTCCCATCGCGAATTTAACAATTTCATTTGAATACGAACTTCTTGTTCTTCTTCTTCAGTTAAACCACCATCAGCTAACATTCGAGCCCCTTCTTCTATTATAGAACCAACTCCTTCTTGATGATGCGACAATTCAATAAGAAAATTCTTCAAGAAAAAATTTAAATTAATAATAAATTAATTTTATCTTTTATGCATTAACAATAAATTAATTTACTTCATGCATGTGAAATATTTCCCTAACACCCTCTAGTTCTTCAGGTATTTTTTCTGACTGGTGTAAACGATCTTCAGCTTCTAGTAACCATGTTAAAACTTCTTCTAATGCAGTTTGATAACCACCAAGTTCAACCGAAATATTTGTTAACATACTCAATGGCCTTTCATCAGACTTTTTAAATTTATCTTCATACTAAATAAATATTTTTTAAATCATTAAGATAATATTAGAATACTTTTTTATTTTAATCCTTACTTGTATATCAGACTTTGAAGCTCCCATTTCATATGAATATTGAGATAATCTTTGAAACAAGCACATAACGTACATCATAATAGATTTTTTGTCTGGTATGGATGTATTAACATCTAAATAAATAAAACAAAAGGATAAAATTTAATATAAATTAATAAAATATTTAATTATTTAATAATATGTAAAATACCTTCAGGATCTAATAAACGTTCAATATTTAAATGCTGATGAGCAGCAGAAAATATATTTTCAAGTCTAGCATTCGGATGTTGTTTTAAAACAGAATCATAATCCAAAAGATCAGATCTGAATTTATGTATTAATGCACTGAATGCTAACCCATCTGACCAACTTGTAGTAAAATTTTTAATGTCAACATCATATCCCTGAAAGTCATCATAATATTTAAAATTACATCCTGGAATAAAATATTAAACTAATATACTTACTTCAGTATTTTTACGACACCATGCCAATAGTGTTTTTTCTAAATTTGTTTGCTGTGATTCAGACATTAATTCTTTCAAATGACAATCAACCTAATAATTTAGATACAACTATCAATAAGTGATTATTTAAAGATTAAACCATATTTTATTGGTTTAATTAACAGAATTTACTATTATTTAATAATTATACATAATACAAATAATAAATGTTTAATTTACCTGCCAATGCAATATAATACTCCATACCAATCCTAAAATTAGTTTTGGACTACCATCAACTATATCGTTACTACTTATATTCACCAATTTTACCTAAAAAATAATATAATAATGGTATCAATTCATAGCCACAAAAAATGTTAAAACAAAAAAAAAAAAAACGTTTTTTTCATTTATAGAAAAAACGTTTTTTGTAATACTTACATTATTTTGTTCCAATATTTGTAATGCTTTATTTACATTATTTAGATGGTGAACTCTCATACATCCTTTTTCTGGTTTCTATAAAAAAAAAAAAATGCATAAAATATAAAATTAAATAAACATCTATCATACAAGTACTTACAATTTGAATGCCGGTTAGAATTTCTAACAAATAAAGTAATTTAGTACCATTTTGTAGATCCAAAAATAAGTCAGATATGACTTCGTGATTTTCCTATAACAATATTTTTTTTTTATGACAATATTCTTTAAAAGATTTATCAAGAAAAATATATTAACTCACTTTTGACAGTTGTGAATTTATCCACTTGGTAAATGTTTTCTTTTGAACATCTTCACGTTCATCTATATGATAAAGCAGAAATGTTAATTTGTAACTAACTATATAATATTGAACTAGACAAACAAATCCACACTAACAAGATAACATTAAAATAAAGAGTAGGTATTATATAAAACACGCCTATATGTAATAAATCATCAAATAATAAGACAGAATTCATTAAGTATACTATTAACAATCTTACAGAATCTTGATTAATTATCAGTTCTCATAATTTCAATATTTATTGAATAACATCAATGTTTGTTAGTAAATATTACAATTTTTAATAAAAGACAAAATACTACATGTAAATTAGTTAACTCTAAAACATAGAAAATTACTAACACACATAACACATACTCAGAAGACAGTATAAATTAAAATATTCTTACCTATTTATCTTTATAGAAATAGGCAGTCAAATATGTTTAACTTATTAATCTATTAAGCTCAACACCTAAATAGTCTAATAGTTTTGGACATAAGTTAAACATAAAGGTATATAAAATTATATTTGCAACCATGATTTAAGATAGAATACCTTAAACTGTATCCGCAACAGTGGCACAACCAGCATTTTTTCTATGGGGGATCGTCCATACTTGTTAGAGCGTTATGAAAGTTTTTCATACTTTTTGGGCAGTATATCAACCCCATTATAGGTATGGCCTAAGGGGGCTTCTATCTAGAGACCCCTCCCTTAGTTGTGCCACTAATCTACCACTAAAATGTTGCAATAAACTTAGGTAATAATGATTTATCAAATAACAATAGTAATACATTTTTTTCTGTATTTTTTGAATTGTTCTATTTAAACAATAAATAAAACTACATAAACAATTAATAATTACAAGTGTATAAATATTTGTATGGTTCTATTGTGGCCAAACTATATCCACGGATATAGAGAACAAATAATCTTTAATGTATCACATTTCTCTAATATACAGAAGATTTAATCACACAACTTATAGACAGTGCTCGACTAGACAAAATTAAAGTAGGGGACTCTGTTTACATTTTAAAAACAGAGGGTACCACTTGTTAAACATTATTAAGCCACACCCACACCCCCTAATACCCCTCTTTAAATCATATAAAAACTGTTTATAAACAAACAATAAAAAAAATAAATAATACTTTTTAATATATTACATAGGTCTTATAATTTGTATATCCGCGGTTATGAAATAATCCATGAAACAAATGAAGATGGTATACCCCTATCACTTATTTTCATATAAAAGCAGAATGATGAAGAGTGCAGTGCGTTCCCCTTTAAACAATAATAGGGGTACACTAACATTTCGGAAAAATTAGTTGGTTTGCTCCGCCCCCTGAGTCCCCCAAATTGAGCACTGCTTATAAACAACCAATAAAATTATAAAATTACTTTAGAAAACAGTAATATAAAGGAGAAAAAGAGAGAAAGATGGTCTCCTGACACGTAAGCTTCTATGTAGACAAAAAAATACTCAGAGAGCAGGAGCAACATTAAGATTGGGGAACCGACAAACTAAACTGCGACACGTTTCTTGCAAAATGGTTGAGTAAACCCAAGCCTGGATTAAGGATTAATTGGGCCCCGAGACACCATGCACTTAGTGGGCCCCCTTTCAAATTGAACTTCAAAAAATTGTATCCCTAAAATTGTATGACTATAATTGCTTTTCTAAAATTTTGTACTATTTTACACTGTACAATCGTCAATCATAGATAATAAAGATTAACAGCTACGCATTCGATGTAGTTCACAACTAAGTTTATAAACTTCATCATGGAATCTCAATTTTATATTTATTATAATTTAGTCATTTTTCGTGATATAAAATTAAGAACATTTATATTTTAATAAATTTTATAATTACTATCGACTAAATTTTTTTAATTAAAAATAAATATTTTGGGGATAAAAATGATCCCCCAAAACCAATGGGCCCCGGTACTCCCCTTAATCCGGGCTTGAGTAAACCAACTGACGTACGTACCGACTAGTATGCTGTCCATCGTAGCCATATTATTACGAGGCGACGATACGAGAAGTCTTAACTGCTGAAATTCTCAACAGAAAATTAGCAACAGGTGTCCGCGCCGTGTCGCATCTCGGACGCGGGGATTAGTTGAGAAAAATACACAGCAGCGCACCGGAGTTTCACTGACTGACGGCGAAGTTTATACGTTCATACGGCGGACGGGCACGGTAAGTCTAAAAAGCTTCGTCGTCATCGCAATGCCCGGTTTAGAAATCCCTTATACATTATACGATAATAACTGAGAACTGTCTAGACGTGTCTCGACTCTCGGAAGAATTGACCCGGATCGCGGCAGCTCTCGTAGTCTCGTTTATCAGTCGTGATATACATTTATCCTATGTAGGTATAGTATCGTCATTCGCATTTCGTCGGGAAAAATAAATCAGTCCGCGTCGTCCGTCGCAATTTGTACGCTAGATGCCTTTAGTAGCGCGTGCCCCCCCCCTGACAATCAACCATTAGAACCCCCTCTGACCACCGCCGATAGTATGCCTTAATAATTATTTTTATTTTTTATTATGAATATATCACCTACGATGTTCCATATTACAATATTTAGTATTTACATTTTACAATACTACTTAGTACTTACTAGTTACTACTAGATACTTCTATTAGTATTTGGTTTACACTTTGATATCTACGTGTGTCGTTTCAATATACAGAATACATATTATACAAAAATATATATTTATATTCATAAATATTATAATGTTTTTCTCTTAAATCCTTAATCTCTTAAACAGATTACAGTTATACCGTAAGACCTCTTCGACGCGACCAAATCGAATTGAATTCTCCTCAACGTCATCGAAGACGGTTCTTGAGTTGTTGTCATATATTTTTCATCAGTAATCAGTATAATAATTAATTACACAATTTTATTATAATTATTTTTATTATTATCTACCCGTAATACACTTTATCTTCAATCTGGCGCAGTGCGCACTCGTCTCAAACACCTGCACTATACACGACATTCGCTTGTCGTAAAGTTCCGAACGGTTTTTCTCAACCGTCCATATCATCCGGTCGTTGCTAACCCGCAATTGCCTATCCACCGTTACCAATACCGACACACGCGATGTCGGAATGCCGTGCACAACAGCTTGCAGACGTTGAATCGCCGCCGCACGTTTGGGTGAAAAGATGTGGCGCGACGGTGGTACAGACACCAGACGACCAATAAGTGTCCGTCCCCGGACCACTGGTTTTGGTTTGTCGCGTTACCGCTGCTATTGGTGAGTAAAATCAGTCGGTCGCATTTTGCTCATCTGTTCATTTGCACCATAATAATAATGCCAAGATGCACAGGTACTGTCAACAAATTTTCGCGATGGTCGCACTTATCCTTTGTGAACCTGTGTATGTGAATATGTGAAAGTGGCCCAACAATTTGGACTCTGCGACAGATTGTCCCTTTAATTTGTTGGTAATGATTACGCCCTTAGACATACGTGTTATATTTTTATGTACCCGAGTTATAAAAAAAACTTACACTACCTAGGTATAAGTGATAGCCAAACTTAATATAATTATAGTCACTAAGATACTAAGTGATTGATATATGCATGTTTCATGAGCAACATATGGAACTAGTTTGAAGGAACGTAGCAAGTACTGTGATTGTAATGATATTATGTTGACATCAATATTTTGTTTGTATATGCTTGTTGTATGTTGTACAAAAATGAATTTTGATGATATTTCAATGATTGTACACTGTTTATTAGTCATTTTTGTGATCACTGATAATTAATTTTCAATAACATTAAGTTAAAACCATCCTTAATGTAAATATTATGTAATCAAAATAATTTCCATTACCTAAATATATTTGTTTATTCAAATTTAAGTATGGAAAGTTATAGATTATAAAATTGTAGGTTTACAAATACCTTGATAACTTCTTTTGTCTAATCATATACTAAACTTGTAACCCTAAAATCATAGACCTATAAGCTAAAATGAATTATTATCTTATATAATTATTGAAATTCCAGAAATTGATTACTTTAGGCTAGATTTAATAATTTTAATGTGAAACTTTAATTTATATACAATACATCGACAAAAATAATTCAAATTTCAAATGTAACGAAAGTAGTTTTATTTCAATGATTCTATTAGTAATAATATTCACATTTTTTTAAAGTTTTATTTGATTAAAAATGTGCTATTAAATATATTTTATTAAAATTGTATTATCTTTGTTTTATGTTAAATAGGTGACTGTGATCATATTAGGTACCAATTATGGATAATGATATATTGGATGAAAGGTCGAGAGAATTTTTAGAAACTGCAGATCAGTATATAACCGAACATGGCCATCAACATGTATCTGAAGAAAATAGTAAACAACTTGTCAGTGACCAACATAATTTGCCTGAAGAATTCCGTATCGGTAAGTATCAACTTAATATGATAACATCTAAAGAACTTAACATAATATATAATTTAAGATGAGAATGGAGAATTGTCCCATCATACAACTGGGTATTATGATACAAATGATATTTTATCTGGTGATGGATCTACAACTCTCACTGAAGATGACCACCGATTAGCCAATGAACTAGCTGCTGAGCTTGCCCAACAGAACAAATCTCTTGTTGATGGTGGCCATCACGACACTCATCTTATGACCAGCTATCTATATAGTACTGATTTTGATTTAAACACGAATAGTAAACATTCATCCCAAACTTCAAGTCATATCAATAATCAACAAGTATTATACATAAATATATTTTACATTTAAATTTATTTATTTAAATGTGTTTTATACAGATTATTAGTTCTGAAAATTTAATAGAAGTTGAAGCTTCAGAATCTGATTACCATGCAGAAATACAAAATAATTTACCACACAAAAAACGTTTTCGCAAAAGAGAATCCACCCCGGCTCCAATGAGAAGTATTCATTCAAAGTGTTACAAATGTAAACAATGTGGTGAACAGTTTAATTCTCAATCTGCAGTTACTGTAATTGTTTTTTTTTTTATTATTACTAAGTCAAATAAATATATACATATATGTAACCAAACTTTATTTGTAGGCACATAAACTAATACATGCTCCTAAACTGAAAGTTGGTGGCCGAATGCCATTCTTATGCGAGATCTGTGATAAACATTTTACACATCAAATTAAGTTTTTTGAACATCTAAAATGCCATTATGAACCACAGCAAAGTAAAGTAATTGTAGTTACCACAGACTCTGGTACTTCACCACATCATGTAAATTATCAAAATCACAATATTCAAGAATCAACAGATAATAATGAAAATCAATATATTGAAGAAACCATTGAAGACCAACCAGAACTTCATGATCTTCCTCCACTTCAGAGTTATAGAGTAAGGTCATATATTTATTTGTATATTTAAACCTAGTCAGCTTGAAGCAAAAACTCGTTAACTATAAATGTATATTTTATTTCTCTCTGACCCTGCCCGCAACATAACAAATGTACATTTAGCAGAAACAATCCTGTTTTGTTACTTTTGATATTGGAGTGAATTCACCTATGATCAAACTTTAGTTAAAAACATTACCCTGTGCAGTCTCTATGCAATTTAAATGTATTTTAAAATTGCAACAATTTACACTCTCATAACTTACATAAGAATTAAAATATCCAACATAGAAATACAGATAAAGTTCTAAACTTAAAGTTTAATAATAGGTGAATTCACTGTAATACTAAAAGTAAGAACGAAAATTTGATATATTGCACGTGGGACAGAGAGAGAAAACCAATAGTGCTCTGATATCCTCTTGAAGTATGGTAAGTAGTTGCTCCCACGCCTACCAGCTCTGGTCGCATCACACTACAAAAAATACTATATAATTTCAGGTTTATGATAATATAAGGCAACGTTTCCCAAACTTTTTCTCCACCTGACCCCTTAAAGATGGTAAAAATGATCGCGGGCCCCTTAATAAGAATATAAATAATAAACTAACTATTTTTTGTTTGACCGACTCGATTAGAGGTCTCTATTCTTAATTGTTTTTCATCCATAACCATTTCAACAATGTACTTACTCTGATAAACTGAGGATCCCTAGGGTTAGACCACAGTTTGAGAAACGCTGATAAGGTATGAGATTAGAAAGTTAATTATTTTTATATAGGTACTTAATTAACAATGTAATAATATATTTTCCATATTTCCTTTCTGAGTTATGATTACATATTCACATAAAAGTACCTTTATTACTTTATGAAATAAATGTTACTTCGGATAGAACATTAAGTTCTACAACTTTGATAAAGATATTTATGTTTAATTTCTTACTAAAAACTTGTTTTTTTCTGTATTTTAAAAATATACCAACTATGGAATTACAAATTTGTAGTGTAAAAACTCACTATAACATAAGGGACTTGAATACTTAATACCCAACATTTTATAGCAAAAACTCATTATTGATCATTACTCATTAGTCAAAAAATTTAATAAGATCAATGTGAAATTGGTAATTGGCGTATAGAAAATAAAAATTAAATGTTTTACTTAATTTCAAACAGTTTTTGCTTCAAAAACGACCTACTGTATGAAAATATTATTATAATAAAACCAAAATGATAATAATATAACAGTTATATAAATTTTTAGTTAACAGAAGATGAGAGCATGGAAGATAATAAACATTGCATATTTTCATCTGATGGATCTATATTGGCTGCTCAACTTCAGCAGCCATTTCCTTCATGTCATCTCTGTGGTAGAAATTTTCGACGTTTAAAAGCATTGGAAATTCATATGGCATCTGTACACCCACAACCTGCAACTGTTGTTACTGTAAAACAGGACTGTTTGGAAGAGTTTTCTGATCCAGAAGATCTAATGGAAGGCATTCGTCATATGGTACCTGGTGTAGCTGATACTGAATCAGAAACTGATGAAAAGCAACCAATACAAGACCAAATGTAGTACAATTAATAATTATAAATATAATTTCTACATCAACTCTTAAATTTGTTTTAGTTGGGAGTACAATGGTGAAAGTATTACAAATCATGAAGAACCTATGATTAAACCTAAAGAAGAAAATAATTGTTTGTTAAATGGAAACGATGATAATGGTGAAAACAGTCGAGCGGAACACACTTGGGAAGACGATACCGATGAATTGGAACAAATAATGAAAAAAAATATATCAAAGAATCTTGTATGCACTCAATGTAAAAGAAAGTTCAATCATCGTAATTCTCTACTATATCATTTAAGATCACATTCCGGTAAAAGACCACATAGCTGTAAACTATGTCCTAAGAGTTTTTTCTCCAGCAGTGCTCTTAAGGTATTTATAATTATTCAATTCATATAATAATAACATTTTAAATACTTTTCTGAAATTTTTGTATTGTTATTTATATTTCTAGGTACACAATCGGCTACACACCGGAGATAAGCCTTTTGAATGTGAATGGTGTGGAAGAAATTTTCGACAGTGGGGTGACCTTAAGTATCATATTGCTTCATTGCACTCTGAGTCTAAACAATTTCAATGTGAATTTTGTGGTAAAGACTTTGCTCGTAAATACTCTTTGATTGTGCATCGTCGAATACATACGGGTGAAAAGAATTATGTTTGTGAATTTTGCAAAAAAACTTTCCGTGCGTCCTCATATTTGCAAAATCATCGTCGAATTCACACAGGTGTGTATTAAATGTCTTATGATAATTTATAGATAACTGTTGTATATTATATTGTATGTTCTAGCATACTATACTTTTTCAATAATTTCTCTACAAATCTAATAATTATTATAAAATGTGAAACAATAAATATTTATATATTTTAAAGCAATGGTACCCCATTTCTTTTTAATTTCTCATTATAATAAGTTCAACAATTTTATACCTGCCCTTTGATGTTTCTCATGTGCAAATTAGAATGTTGACTTTTGAAGTTTTAAGAATATTGAAAAATTATTATAATTTAAGAAAAACAAAAGCTCTATTTAAAAACTCAAATGCCCTAGAACATACTTTTGGTATTGACTATAATTTAATAGTTGAAGTTCATTATACATAATTTTTATTTTATATTTTATATTAGGTGAAAAACCATATAAATGTGAGACTTGTGGTAAAGCATTCAGAGTACGTTCAGACATGCGTCGACATACTGTAGTACATAGGAAAGATGTTGTAAACACTGTTCAAATTAATAGTTATCCTGGTCAAGTGAGTGGAATTGTTACATCTTCTGACATGAGTATCCATTTAACTAAATTGGAAGTGAATAAAGATAAAATAACAGCAGAATCTGATGGAGATGTTAAATTCCATGAAAATTTCTCTCATGATTCCAATCAAATATTAACTGCAGATGAAGTTAGTGCACCTCTTAATCTCAATTTACGAGCTCAAGATAATGGTCATGACGATGAATCAACTAATTTTGAACAGTTTAATGGCCGTCAAGAAATAATTGATCGGGAAACAAATACTTTATACGTTTGGATTCCATCCAATACTGAGCAATTATTACAAAGTGAATAATTTGGGTGTACTTGGAGTCTTGTACGATTTGGTCAACTTCTAAAATCCAAAGACTTATAACTTGTAATATTTCGCTGAATTTTTGTAATCATGGCCACTGAATGCAGGTATCAAAAATACAAAAATCATACTCTGCCTTAAAAGATCTTAGGAGTAAGAGTTGTGTTTGGCTGCTACTAAGTCTGATATAAATTATTTTGATGCCTCATTTGAATTACAAAATTGCGTATGATTACTTTTTGTTCGGATATTAAAATCAAATAAGAAAACGTTAACAAGGTAAATTATTCAAATGTATGATCCATATACCATTATAATATAAGTATAGACATTTGGGTCAATAAAAGTATTGTATAATTAACACAATTTTTCGAGTATTTATTATAATTGAATTATTGTACTCTTACTAACAAGTTTTTATTAATTCAATGATTATTTTAAAACATCTTAAATGACGTTTGTGTTGATGAAATCAATGATGATGCACATTTTCATGGGAAAATGTATGACTTATTACATTATTTATAAAACTTGGCCAACTATAATACAAAAAATATTCATAACTTATATGTTCCTTGAATAAATTTTCTGTTTGGTTTGTTTTTATATTTATTTATACATATTGCAATATGAGAGGTTTAAAAATGTTTTAAAAATAAATATTTTTAGATAAGTAACAAGTTTAACTCCCCATATTTTTTAAAAAATATCTCAAGTATAATTACCTATTATAAACTAAACAATCATATTATATATAAATTATTAGTGAAATAATTTTAAGCTGTAATTCCTGGTCTTAAAATGAGTTACATAGCAAGAATAAAATGTAATTATGTTTAAATGTATATTTAAAAGTATATACAATTACTAAAATGCAATAATATATTTCAATCTTAAGAAAGTAATTTATAATATTCCAGTTTTATTTAGGGTAAAAATTGTTTTTTATTCATACTAAAGGTATTTAAAGGTTGTTATAATGTTAAATGTAATTCTCGTAATGTTAATTCTAAATTAATTATACTTTTATATGTATTTTTTTCTATTTAATTCTTGAAAACAAAAATATCTGATGTCTTCCTCATGACTAGTAATAATATATTGGCTAGTGTTACATTTTTTTCCTAATACATTAAATTACATTTATGAGACAATTAATTTGGTGTTAATTTTTAATAACATACTTATGTTATAACTATAAGGTATGATTTTTTAAAACAATTATAAATTGGGTAATTTTTAAAATATGGATGTTAAATATATTTTTCAGATTTAATTACTAATCATAATAGCAATTTAATTTACATAAATAATTTCATAATGTTCAAATATATAAATTTATTAGAAAAGAATTTGATATATTATAGTCAATAGATACAGATTATAATTTTGTAGGTTATTTAGTATTTATTAAATAACTAATAATATAAAACTGGTTCTTACTATAATACCATTAATACTTGAAGGTTATTAGCAGGGCTCGTAACTTCATGCACTAAAAAATGCATAAATAAGCACGCATTCATGCACTAAAAATTGTCAAAATATGCATTAAAATATGCACTTAAAATTCGAAAATATACATTTATATGCCTTCACATTTTTAAATTATGAACTCAAAATATGCATTATGTAAAAAAAACATGACCAAATTTTAAAATAATAAGAATAAATCCATACATTTTAAAAGTATTTTATTCCTTTTTATTTTTATATATTTAACAGTCAAAATTAATAAAATAAAAAATAAAATTAATACTTGTGAAGTTCAAATAGCTTTGACATCTTTATAAATTTTAATTAGGTAGTCATTTTTGTCTAATTTGTGTACACCCTTATTCAGCACCAACAATGAAAACATTTGGAATTAAATATTAGGTTTTTCATTTTGAGATAATTTAGTAATATATATTTTATAAGTGTATTTCTTATGTTTTCCAACTTAAGAGGGCGCACTAGTAGACAAAATATGGCATAAAACCATGGTTTCGTAATTCAAGTAATACGGCTTATTGAAGTAGTTTACAGTAAAAATACCTATTATAAAAATTGTAGAGTAGAACTTTTTTTACAATCGTAAGAAGCCCGATTTTCGATATTTTTATTAATTAGCTAAATAATTAATCAATAAAAAATTTAAAAAACCGTTATAATTTACCATGCGATATTGGACGATTGGAACAAGATATCAAAAATCGGAAGAAACCTTTCAAATTTTTCAAATTTGTCTAAAAAATATTTTTATGAAATAATATGCACTAATAACTGTAAAAAATCAACTATATGCCAAATATGACTTTACACCCAAAACATGCAAAAACATGCACTGTCAAACTTCATATTATTATTACTATTGTTATGAAACGGATTTGTATCACAGTTAGCATGTTTTCCTGTGTAGCAAAAAAAACATGCAGATGCATGAACTTACGAGCCCTGGTTATTAGTAATTATTACTAATAAAGTATTATAATATATAAACTAAAATAACAATTAATGTATTTTAAAATCAAGTAATTACTACAATTTTATTATAATAAATTAATTATTTTGCCCATATGGTCCCATCAAACAGTCTTATGAAGACTACTTATAAAAAGCTTTCAGAATTTGTATTCAAATAGAAAAAATAGTAATATGATTATGTATTTAAATTATTAAAAAAAAGTATTACATTTCAATTATTTGAATAAAAAATTGTTTAGTTTTAGATTCTGAGCGGAGAATGTATTGATTTTACAATGATGTGTTTTTTATTTTATTTAAAAAAAAAAAATTCTCCGTCTGTCATCATCTTTTAGGGCAATAAAAGTGCTTTGATTGTCTATTTGATATCATTTATGGTAGGAAAGTGAATCTAATTAGTAGTTTGGAGGGTCTAAAGTAAAATCTTGCCTGAACTTTCCAAAAGCGTAGGGAAAACAAATAAAAAACAGAGATTTATATGCAGAACCAGTTTTTGACAAAATCGATTTTGTTCTTTGTTGCAACTCTAAAAAAAATATCCATTTATAAAAGAAATTTTCGCAAAATGTTTATATTATTAGCATTTTCTGTACATGACTAAATAATTATTAATACACCAAAATATTTTGAGTACTTTTGAGCTAATTATAGGCATAACTGCATAAGAATATTTTGATTATAAACATAAAAAAATTTATTTTATATCTATGATTTGAAAGTGTAATACATGACTCGCTATATAGGAGTTCCTTTAAAAAAAATATATATATATATTTATATACTGTCCTCGTCCAGTTTTTTGATTATTATGGACACGATATAATTAACATAATTATATCATCATTATTCATGGTTATGCAATACATTGTTACTATTATTTATATTTTTAGAATCTCAGCGATAACTTATATTTATTAAACAACCAATTACATTGTAATATATAGGCGTATAAACATTATAATTTACATAAATGATTAGTAAAAAATGAATTAGGGTTGTAACTTGTAAATATTTAATTTGTTACAAAACCTTAAATTAAAAAAATACATATCTAAAAAACAAAAAATAAAATAAAATTGAATTTATTAGTTTGTTTTACAGTATTCTAAAAAAAAAAGTGCATTGATCTACACAACACAAGAGTTCTCTTGTTGGTCAACTACTCTGCGTCTCTGCTCCAATGCTCATCTAAAGTTTGAATAAAAATAGTTGTTACGTAGCGGTAAGTACTTTGCTTTACAGTATCGAATATGCTGGTGTTCCTCGAGATTGAGTAGGTTACTGCAATGGATGTGTAAAATTTGATTTCCGTGATAAACATAACTATGAAAAACGATTTTGGGCGAAGAATGAAGATGGTATACCTAACAACTTTATGGTAATTAAGAGATCATAATATTATTAAGATTTTAACAAATGTTCGTATTTTATATTCGGAGCGGATCGATGAATGTATTTATTTTACAATGATGTTTTTTTTTTTGTGTGTGTCACTCTAAAGCTGGCTACACATGGAGCGGTTTAGCCGGGATAACCGCCCAAAATTAAACATGGGTTCGCATATTCATCAAACAAATAAACGTATATACGTCATTTTGTCTATTAATGTCAATAAAACTTTATTTGTTGGGTAAAAAAGCTTGAAAATTTAATACAAGGCTCCTACTATATTGTTACAATGACATTTGAAAAATATTAAAAATCCTTAGTCGCCGTTTTTTTTATAAGCATTTAAAGTTCAATTCTTGACAAAATAAGGAAAAATCACAAAAATTAACAAATTATTTTGAGTTGAGAATTCATAAAAATTTTCCTTTTCAAATCTAAGATTTGAAAATGTAATACAAGAATATTCATAAGTTTGTCTACCTTTATCAAAAAAAAAAAGGTCTACAGATTACAAGTAAATCAAATAAAATTTTTATAAGCGTTTGACGTTCATATTTTCACAAGATGGTAAGGTATTTATTCGATTTCTCATGTACCTATCGATTTTTAAATTTTGTGTAGAACGATGAACGTATTGATTTTACAATGATGTGTTTTTTTTTTTTTTTTTCTTGTGTCTGTTATCACCTTTTAGGACAGTAAAAGTGCTTGGATTTTCTTCAACAGTATCTTTTCCGATAGGAAAGTGAATCTAGTTGGTATTTTGGGGGGTCAAAAGTAAAAATTTCTCATTAGTTTTCAAAAGCGCCTTGAAAAACAAAAGAAAAATTAAGGAAAAACGGTAATTTGTACGCAAAATCTATTTTCAAGAAAACCTATTTTGGTTTCTGGTGCAACTCTTAAACAAATGACCCATGAAAATTTGACTGAATGTTTATATTAGCATTTTATATACACCATAACATTTTCCATATTATTTTGACTTATTTTGAGCTGTTTTCGGACATTTTCAAATTCCATTTTTTTAAGTTTTTTTTCTAAAAATATCAATAAAATTGTATTTGTTTTTTAAAAAAGCTTGAAAATTTAATAGGAGGCTCCTAGTATATTATTTCAAAGGCAGATGAAAAATATTAAAAATCCTT